GCACTGATAACAGTAGTGTCCGCAGTGGAATTATTACTGAGAGAGCAGCATGCTGCATTGCTGTGAGTCTGGACCTCTGCCATAGCCAGACATCTCCCCCTGTCTGTCAGAAAAGGCAATGCTCCGGTCTGTAAACTATGAACCAGATGAGTATTCCAGAGCCAGACTTTTGACTGTAGGCAAAGTCTGTTTTACTTTACAGCTTCGTCTGGCCTTAAAGTGCCTTTTTAGATGATCAATGACAAATAAGAGTGTCAACAATGAGGTTGAGGGAAATTCTTTCAAAAAAACTGTTTTAAAAGACATGCCAAGTTCTTAGAAATGCACTCTTTGTATTAATGTTAGTGTCATGGTTTTGAGAGATTTTTTTGCCATTTTCAAGAAAAGTTTCAAAGTATATAAATGTCATGTGGTGAAACCATAAGATAAAATGGTTCTTTTTCCTGTTTGTTTCTGGATATTGATGATTGCATCACATGACTTTGTTGGTTGTACCACATGACATTTTTTCCTATGTAATGTGCAATGCTACTCTTTTTTTCTTCATTTTTTTTCTTCATTGTGAAATGTAGTTTTTCGTATTTTAGTGTATTGGCTAATGAAAAACATAGCTATTGAAAATGACTACTGGCTAATGAAAAATATAGCTACAATTTTATTTTTAATAATAGCTAGAATATTACGCCTAATATATTTACTACTGCTACTACTACTATTATTATTAATAATAGTAAGTATGTAATACCATTATGTTACTTTTAGACCAGAACAAAAGCTCTTCTCTTACAATATACTGTAAATAATATACAATAGATCTATATTGGTATAATCACATGGGTACAAATGTGGCATAAGATTAAGCATCATACCTAAAATATAATCAGTGAAGACAGTAATATCAAGGTTAGGGAAACTCTCACAGGAAGACGCCAGAAGCTTTTGGTGCGATAAATATGTGCACTTGTCCACAGAGTCCCATAAGACAGATAGAGAGCCATTGGAGAGGAGAAATGCACCACTTATCTACAAGTAATGTGTTGATAGACACCACTTTCCTGCAGGGATATAGGGCTCAGATTAGGTTTTCCAGCTAAAAATAAAATAAATATGTCATGTAATGTTCTTACTTGCATTTTAGCCGTTAACTATTCATTATTTTTTTCTGAAATTATATCTTTCAGTCAGTAGCCTATCAAGTGTGACAGTGCATAGATTGCTTTAGATGTGAATCATCTATGGGGAAAAGAATGTGTTTGAAAATAGAAATAGAAGGGAAAAAGTGGCATAATGGGAGTTAGCATTGGCATTTGTTTACCATTGCCGTGTCTGTCCTTGTACGATATAATAGAAATGGACTCTATGGAAAGGATATAACGAATTAAATAATATTACATGGTGAATGTATATTTTGATGACAAATGCATAAACTAAAACAGAAGGGTAATTTTGTGGATAAACGGAATCTAATTTCAAAAGACATCCACCAGTTTACTTTTAAAACCTGATAAATTACATTAACATATCCACAAACTAAATGGACAACAAGACACGGGGCATTGTGGACAATCTGGCCAAGAATGTGAAACGAACGATACACCTTCCCAATGAAACAAAATCAGAACACAGTCCTAGCGACATCTAGTGGTCACCGAGAGAACAACATGCTTTTCGAACATCATGAAATTAAAGCAGTTCAGTTGAAATTAATTTTAATGCTGGTACTTACATACAAAATATACACCGAAAAAGTCCTAAGTGAGCACATCCACAGTCCCAGGACCATAGCCACTGCGGTATAGACTGTATGCAGGTATTCGCTCATATCCTCAGTGTCTCTGTACTGAATGGTGACGGTGAATCATGGTTGTCGCCCTGGTGGTCAGTGGAGTCTGGACGAGGTCTTCTGCTTTGAGCCTCTGTGTCATCTCGGGCCTCCTCATCCTCTGAATCTGTTGTATATTAAAATGTTATATTAGCCTACTTGTTTTCCCTGACCAACAACTACTGTATATGAGCATCACTCAGACCTAGTGTTGTTTGATATACATGGACCTCGACATGGATGTTATTTTGCTCACCATGGCAAAGAAAATCAAGCAATTCTAGGATGAACCGAAGCTCTAGCTCCGTCAAGGGCTCTTCAGTGAGACTGCTGTAATCACTCATTTCAAATGACAAATAATTGCCAAATTGGCAATGAAAATCCAGGTGAGCTGATCCAGCAACTAATATTCCCACAATTTATATTCATAACCAAACATTCTTAAATATCAACATACTGAGACTCTAGTGAGAAACAGTTATACACTAATTCTAGTACTACCAAAGCTACAATTATGAGTCCTACTACTGTTAGGATTTAAATAATAATAATAACAAAAATAATAATTGACAATATTATCACAGTAAGCAGATACAATAACAGGCATTTAACGATAAATGTAAGAATCATATTTATTAATTTATTTATAATAATTTTTTTTTTTTTCCAATAATGAACTAGACCAATACCTTATGCATTCATAATCGTTTTATTAGTGTTACTCTGAAGTCATTATAATGTACTTGCGGTCTGGCATATAGTCAATTAATGCAGGAATATGAGTAAATAACATCGTCACATTCATCCATCCAACGCTAGACGGCGCACACGTCTACAAAATGAATCATTGGCTGCCACTGTGTCCTTTAAATGTCAGTAATTAAATTCAATTGTAACGTTAATATGTATCCCTCCGCGCCAAATTATTCTTGAAACCATTAAAACTGCTCAGTTACTTCATGAAGACTTGGGAAACATCATGCCATCTTATTTACCCCCTTTTCATTTAGGTCTTCCAGTATTATGGCCTATTTGTGTTCATTTTGTCATGTGATATTTAATTGTATTTTATATTAAGTAATACTTTTTTATGTTGTTTATTTATATTTTCATCAGTGTTATAGAAACATTATATCTCATACATTTATATCAATATCTATGTACGTATTCATAATATATTTGTTATTATTTGTTTGTTTATATTTAATATTGATGTTTATTTAATGTTTAATTTATTAAGTAATAATGTCCGTATTTATTTTTTACATTATATTAAATGTAATAAGCCTAATAATATGTATGTTAATATGTAATATTTTCCTGTTTTATTTGTACAGCCATGACAATAAAACACTTGAAAAAAAGAAAGAATATTTGAAGAATATTTGCCCAGTTATATCAGCCTCTGTGTGTGTGTGTGTGTGTGTGTGTGTGTGTGTGTGTGTGTAGGTTTTTCTATACTGGTGGGGATATATCAGCCTCTGTGTGTGTGTGTGTGTGTGTGTGTGTGTGTGTGTGTGTGTGTGTGTGTAGGTTTTTCTATACTGGTGGGGACTTAAACCTGAATACACACCAACTCATGGGGACTTGTGTCACTGTGGGGACCTAAATAGTGGTCCCTATGCGTACAAAAGCTTATAAATCATACAGAATGAGTTTTTTTGTGATTGTAAAAAAGCTGAAAGTTTTCTGTGAGGGGTAGGTTTAGGTGTAGGGTTGGTGTAGGGCGATAGAAAATACAGTTTGTAAAGTATAAAAACCATTACGCCTATGGAGAGTCCCAAGCATGGTGCACCAGACTGTGTGTGTGTGTGTGTGTGCGTGCGTGTGTGTGTGTTTATATGCAGTGTGATTTTGCGTAGCCCCTCCCCCAGTCTACTATCTGCGCATGTCACAGAAAGCCGCTGATCACGTAGTACACGTGCAGCACGCTGATTCTGAATTAATATACAGAGGATTGTTGTAGATATCTTCTGTTCAGTTTTATGACTGTTTATTTATGAATAAAGCGTGCAGTATTTCTTTTGATATTGAAATAGTAATATATGGAGTACAAAGAGTAAATTGACAAAGTTTGTGATTCCATAGTAGTAATAAAATCTTATTTACAGTTTATATTATACACCTGCTTTACTTTTATTGTCTCGCTTCAGGCTCTGCTCTGTATGTCATTTGACATGATCATCATGTTAGTAGGTCAGTGGTGTTTTCGGATCAGAAAAATTTTTAAAAAAATCAAAACCCTAAGAATGTTTTTAACAGCAGTTCAGTGTATGAATTGAATTTTATTGTGAAAAGAAGTACGCCTACAATCTTCATTCATCGAAACCTCTAAGTGATCGTGATGGAGCCCATGTCTGCAGTGGCAGGCGCTGATGTCGGCAGACTCGGCACTGGTCGGATTTTACTTCGGCCATTTCCGTTTATGTTAACCACAGCATGGTGCGCCAGAGAGTGTGTGTGTGTGTGTGTGTGTGTGTGTGTGCGTGCGTGCGTGTGTGTGTGTTTATATGCAGTGTGATTTTGCGTAGCCCCTCCCCCAGTCTACTATCTGCGCATTTCACAGAAAGCCGCTGATCACGTAGTACACGTGCAGCACGCTGATTCTGAATTAATATACAGAGGATTGTTGTAGATATCTTCTGTTCAGTTTTATGACTGTTTATTTATGAATAAAGCGTGCAGTATTTCTTTTGATATTGAAATAGTAATATATGGAGTACAAAGAGTAAATTGACAAAGTTTGTGATTCCATAGTAGTAATAAAATCTTATTTACAGTTTATATTATACACCTGCTTTACTTTTATTGTCTCGCTTCAGGCTCTGCTCTGTATGTCATTTGACATGATCATCATGTTAGTAGGTCAGTGGTGTTTTCGGATCAGAAAAATTTTTAAAAAAATCAAAACCCTAAGAATGTTTTTAACAGCAGTTCAGTGTATGAATTGAATTTTATTGTGAAAAGAAGTACGCCTACAATCTTCATTCATCGAAACCTCTAAGTGATCGTGATGGAGCCCATGTCTGCAGTGGCAGGCGCTGATGTCGGCAGACTCGGCACTGGTCGGATTTTACTTCGGCCATTTCCGTTTATGTTAACCACGCCCCTATTTCCCTTCGGGAGTTTCCGCTGACGTTAATCCCGCCCCTACAGGTCTCAGCGTTGTTTAGGGACATTAGGAAGATGGCGGCTGCCCCGCTCTACTGTGTCTGCCGGCAGCCCTATGATTTTAACCGGTTTATGATCGAATGCGACATTTGTAAAGACTGGTTCCACGGCAGGTATGGAAATTATGGCCTCCTTAACAGATGTGGAACGGTTGGTATGTACAGACCGCCTTGCCACGGGGGTATTTTGGGTGTACATCTGGGGTGTCATGTGAAAGTGTTGGTGACGCGCGATGAGGGTATTTTTAATATGACGGTGCGAGATCACGCTCGACTTGAATGTGATTTGAGCGTTATTGTTCGATTTCTGTCAAATGTTTTTATGATAAATGTGTACTGGGAACTTTTAAGGCAAACTGTCTCCCACAATCTTACCCTCAGGATTAGATTATTCTGCTTTCCTTTGGAAGTGAGCTGCCAAAAGCCACATGGCTCATCTGTATGTGTGTTATGAAACTAGACATTTAAATCGTCTGTCTGTTTGAGCTTGACATGCTTTGCTGAACTTGGAGAAAACAGATGTTTCTCGCTTTATTTAACTCAGATTTAACACTAAAATGATGCATTTTATGATTTATATGGCCATTGGCCAAACGTTTGAATATTTTGCTTTAAGGCTTACCTCAGCTGAGTGAGTTTTCTTACAAATATTTATCAAGGTAGCCATAGTTTATTGAACTATGTTATTGAACTACAATAAAACTGTGATATATGTATATCTAGCCTATGTATATATGTATATGTATGTGTGTGTATTTATGTATATATGATCTTATTTCGCATGCAGAGGTGTAAAGCTAATCTGTAATAAACATATTTGGCTTAATTGTGTTTTGACAGGTATGCATATACTGTATATATGATAATCATGTCTGATCGTGCCATACTGTTCTCTTCTGTCACATTGTTGTATGTGGCAAGACAAGTTGTGCAATATGTATGAGCATTCCTAGTTGCTTGGCAGAACAGGACTTTTTCTGATAAGTAGATACACAAACAAAACCATATCCATCTTGGCACACCAAAATTTTTTGGCATATTTTCAAAAGTAGCTGCCTTTAAGCTTCAGGACAGATTCTTGTCTGTAAATGAGCCAGGGCTGAGCTTTCCTTCCTGTCTTGCGAAGTAATCGCCAGTACACAGTGAGCGGTTGTGCGGGTGTTGAGAATGAAGTCTTGCGTAACTTTGTGGAGCTGCCAGATTCCCCAAACCCTGTGAGAGTGCGAGACAAAGACTGGCGCCTTTGCAGGCCAGAAGAAGAAGCGAAGGGAACGACTGTGATTCTGCAGCGTCAGTGACGCACAAAACTGTTACCACATGCTCTGTGTGTCACTTCGCTCTGGATTGACGAGACACAATTTTCCCAAAATCAGAGATGTGAAACTTCTTGGGTAGAATTTGGACACCAAAAAGCATGGCAGAATGCGGATGTCTGTCTGAATGCACGTGAGGTGAATGTCTGAACCTGTGAATCAATCACTTTAAAAGACATGGTTAATGGCATGTGATGTTATGGTTAGTTCTCTTTAGAAGCCATTTCATCTGGAGAGTTATAGCAGGTTGCGATTTGTGTATCAAAACCCTAGCTCTTTGAGGGTTACAGGTGAGTTTAGATGGCCACAGATCTGCTGATTGATGGAGCTGCAAGGTCAATACACAGTCTGGAAAGAGCTGAGGTTGAGACCATCTTTTGTCCTTTTCAGACTGAAAGTAAACAAATTCTGGAACCTGAGTGTCGTCAAAGAGGTCGGTTAACCCTCCGTTTCAATTGGAAACTTCAAGAATGCATTGGTTTATTTAGGCTTGGCTTTTCACCATTGGTCAGCCTGAGCTTTGTTCTCGAAACGGTCTTAAACTCATCTTGAAGTTTAAATGATAATTTACCCAATCTGCAATGTTATTAATATTATTATGAACCAACATAACTTGGATCTTCCGGTGAAATGACAGACTTTTCTCTGGTGACGTATGCCAGACTTTTCCAGTCATGTAGTCTGCTTAAACTCTGCCCCTTACTTACAATCCTCAATCTAATCAACAACTGATGGGGGAGAATAAAGTCCAACCCTAATTTTTTCATTCTTTTTCAGTAATTCGTTTTATTGAGACGTACATCACAACACATTAGAAAATACTTGCCACTACTACTGTTATCATCATTTTTTGCGTCGACCAACCAACTCGTTCTCATAAAATGGCGGTATCGTACGAATTAGTTAGGTGGTTGTACAAAAACTTTTAGCAAGAATAGGACTAAAAATATGGGATGTATAGGGGGAGGATCTCTAAGCAAGAAGGCTTAGGGTCACATGGGGTCAGCAGATGTGTGCATGTACACCCCATCTAGCCTTACTCTCCCAAATACAGACTTGTTTGGCTCCGAATTGCTCATAATTGGGAAATCCTTCTGCCTTATACAAAGAAGGCTTGACACTGGCCTAAACTTGACTCCCCCTGTTTGCAGATCATTCTTAAAAATGTATCTGCCACAACAAAGTGCCTAACTTGAATGTGTGCACTCTTGATAGGAACATGAACACTTGATGAGCTTGCGAGAGAAAGAGGGCAAGTAAAGGCAATGCTAAAATACTTTCCCTCTTCTGGTCCCTCGGTTTGTAAGGATGTTTTGGTGTTCAACTCATTATGTCCCATTAAATCCTAAATGTACTTCTGAGTCTCAACAAAAGCCTAGTGTGAGTCGTTTTCAGACCTGAGACGCCCTGAAGATTAGTGTTGACTTATCAGGGCCTGGTTTGTTGACCCCGTCTGCTCTGTAGTGGGTTAATCCAATGAAACTGTCATGTTTGTTACGAAAGTATACAGACAATAACGTATTTTATTTAAACATATATTGAATTAAAACACTTAGGATAAATCGTCACTATTTAGCCTATGTGGTAGTATCTATTTGATTTCTACTATTGGCACTGTCCATGGTAGTAATGTGGGCGCTTCACAGATCCAATGGAGTCTGAAAGTCTGTTGTTCAGTCCAAATATACTCTATTTTTTATGAATGCACTAGGGTATGTGTACAATGCATGTGACGTAAATGTCGTCATCAGCAATGTATTGTGTACTGTACACTTGCAGTCTGATTTTCGTAAACTGCACTTATTCCGAACCCTCAGCTTGCGTATGCGGCTTGAACTTTTTTTTTGCACTAGTGACCCTGGCCATTGTGTGGCAGTCCGAAAAGAAACAGAAGAGACTGAACAATGAAAAACTACTGAAGATGCAATAAACGGCCGTGTTGATGAGCACTTGTGTGAGGGGATTAAGGGATACCTGCAGCTCTAGAAATTGTTCAAAGACATTTTTAGCGGTAATAACTTCTGAAATTAAATAGTGCAGACAGTGGACAAAAAGCCGCATTTGTCACATGCCAGTATTTGCACAATTAAGTATTCCTTGAAAGGCTATTTATTCAGTTGAACCTATACGCTAAAGGTTTGCATCAAAACTTAAGTATACTTTGGGCTGTAGACCACGCTTACAACTTTTTTTTTTGCCCTAAAATGCTCTGTGTAAACCAGTACTGTATTTTTACAAATATATTGTATAGGAACAGTCTTAAAAAAAAGTGGCAAATTAATTAAACATTTAAAAATGACCATTTTTATTGTATCTATCTTAAACATCTGTGAACAAGGCACTCATCACTCACTTTTTGTGAATGTAGTAAGACTCTCAGCTGCGTGTTTTGCTTAAAGGTGGGGCAAGCGATTTCTGGTAGCCAATGTTGACATTTGAAATCACCAAAACAAACACGCCCCTACCCCAAAAGGGTCTCGCCAATGTTCAAACCAATGTTACACCATGTCTACACCGGACGCGATATATATATACCATATATATCTATGGTCTACACTGGATGCGGCACGACACTACAAATCCCAGACAGAAAACTGCTGCTGCGTTCTATTCATGACGTATTGACACAAATTTCAAATGATTTTCAACGGTCGCTTTGTACTAGACAGACTTTAGCTGTTGCGGCGCGTGTTTAAAGGTGGGGTAAGCGATTTCTGGTAGCCAATGTTGACATTTGAAATCACCAAAACAAACACGCCCCTACCCCAAAAGGGTCTCGCCCCTATTTTGATAGCTCCGCCCCACATATACGTACGCAACCCAGGCAACGATTAGTTCTGTGAAACAAATCAAAACCAATGTTACACCATGTCTACACCGGACGCGATATATATATACCATATATATCTATGGTCTACACTGGATGCGGCGCGGCACGACACTACAAATCCCAGACAGAAAACTGCTGCTGCGTTCTATTCATGACGTATTGACACAAATTTCAAATGATTTTCAACGGTCGCTTTGTACTAGACAGACTTTAGCTGTTGCGGCGCAGACACGGTGTTACTCACCTATCGAGAAGAAACAAAGCAACCTCGGCGTCCGATCACAGGCCTTCCGCTCCTTGAGTTCTCTCCAGCGCTGAAAAGCTGATCCGAATTTATCGACGGTACACCTTCTTCGATAACGATATAAAAAATGTTCGATATAGTGCACGATATAGGCACGTGCTATGAATGACGCAGACCGCACACACAAACACAAACTCATGCTGAAATGACTGCTGCACTCGCGTCTCACACAAGAGATGTAGCCATGCAAAGTTAAAACAGTTTAAACCTTTAGAAAACATGTCGCGAATTTGTGGAGGTTTATTTCTTTTCACTACGTCTCTTATGTTTTTAAATGCAATCTGTGTGATGGGCGCTTCGGCTCTTTGTATTAAGCAATGCATAAATAGATGATGCTGTTCTGTCGCTCGGCTCGCTAATGTCCGTCCTGTGCACTGAACGCTCTCTCCTCCTCATCATGAGTAGACACGCCCCTTACTGCTGATTGGCTACAAGTTTGTTTTGCTATTCGGCCCGAATCAGTTTTCTAAAGCATTTTTGGAAAATCGCTTACCCCACCTTTAACAACTCACAATATAGCATGGCATCCCACATGACAAATAGTCAACCTACACAGTTGGTTACACAAAATAAAGGGAATTGCGTATGCTGGCCACTAGAAAAAAAAATAATCAGAGGGTTCCTTTCTACACACCGTCTTGCTTTCTGTGCCTTTGGTTCTCTGGTGGGTAGTTAATCAGTAACTCAGGTGACAGGAAGGCTGACTCAACTCCAGGCAGCACACTGACCTGGTTCACATGGTGTTATGAAACCAAGACAGGGAGATAAAAGGAGCACTTTGTATATCATAAAGCATTATGGGAGGGATGGTTAAACTCCATGACAAAATGAGTGCAATAAAATGAAGATTGTTTAATGAGCCAGACATAATGTGAACGAAACGGGGTTAATGGAAAAGTGGAGAAGTACGCTGTAACGAAAAAGAGAAAAATATTTTCTTTACCACTTTAATCCTTTTAGGTGTACTAAATACTTTGTACAATCAACAATCACAATGAAAATGTGATTTTTGGGTGATGCCAAAAAACTTTTATAACCTGAACTTTTTTTTTTTTTTACAAAGCAAATTTGTACAGTTGGTGCTCAAAGAGCTTTTAGCTGGTTATTATGACATTGTTGTGCCGTTCACGTGGGCTGATCTCATAAATGCTATTGTTCCAACATGACTTTGAAGCATTATGGGACTGTGTGTCGATGATGTGCATAATGCATTGTGGGAGCCTGTTTGGTTATATGGAACAAGTACAACTTTTATATTTCACTTAAGCAGATTGAATTGTGTTGGTCTTTATGTTGTCCAAACTGCTGAGAACTTCAGTTCATTCATCAACTGCGGGACAAGATCTGAGCGCTCTATTCTCTCTCTCATTGTCTGGTTCACGTAGGAGGGAGGTGGAGGAGAAGAGTGGGTGTAGAGTCATTCATCCTTAAACCTTTCCTCCCCCATCTGCTCGTGTGTCATCGCATGTCTGGCTGTGATACCCAGGTGACTTTATCGCAGCGTGAGCTGGAGTCACGGCACTGGTTAAGGCCATCCCATTTGGAGACAGATTTTATTCCAAGTGAATCATAGGGATGAAAGACAAACATCCGATGAATTCTACAGGCTTTAAATTGTTAATCTAATGTTTTCAGACCACAGTTGTATGGATCCACACTGCAGTCTCTCCAGAATCTTTGGATTTTGCAATCATAATAAACAGACATGTGCCGATTAATAAAATTTGAGCTGATACCAATAACATGTTAATGATTTTAATTGCTACAAGTGATTTTAGACATCACAACATTATAATGCACAGAATGAAATAAGGATATTCATTTTGAGATTTGCAAAATATTACATTTAAGAGTGTTATTAAATTATTAATGTTATTAAAGATTATTTCAAATGAGAATTATATGACGGCAAAGGTAATCTAAATGTAAAAATATGGGTAATGAGCATGAACAATTAAAATACTCACTATCGGCTAAAACCAATCCTGCAATGTTTGAAGTAGCTTGCAAATTTGTCTTATTAAATCAAATAATATGGTAAAAACATTCATTGATAAGTTTTTTTTTTTACATGATTTTCTAAATTTTAAGAACTGCATACAGTAGATGAATCTTTTGTCAGCATCACTTTTAAAAGCATTTCAGTTTCTGAAAAAAGCTGTAACAAATTTAGTCATTTTAGGTTGCAGTTGAAAAAAATTGTATGAGTATGGGCTAACTGAGATAATGGACAAATTTGAGCTGATACCAATAACATGTTAATGATTTTAATTGCTACAAGTGATTTTAGACATCACAACATTATAATGCACAGAATGAAATAAGGATATTCATTTTGAGATTTGCAAAATATTACATTTAAGAGTGTTATTAAATTATTAATGTTATTAAAGATTATTTCAAATGAGAATTATATGACGGCAAAGGTAATCTAAATGTAAAAATATGGGTAATGAGCATGAACAATTAAAATTCTCACTATCGGCTAAAACCAATCCTGCAATGTTTGAAGTAGCTTGCAAATTTGTCTTATTAAATCAAATAATATGGTAAAAACATTCATTGATAAGTTTTTTTTTTTTTACATGATTTTCTAAATTTTAAGAACTGCATACAGTAGATGAATCTTTGTCAGCATCACTTTTAAAAGCATTTCAGTTTCTGAAAAAAGCTGTAACAAATTTAGTCATTTTAGGTTGCAGTTGAAAAAAATTGTATGAGTATGGGCTAACTGATACCGATAATGGACATATGGACATAAAATGACACTGTAAAACTTCTTGCCAACAGAAGCTGGATAGTGTTGATGGTATTAGCCTGATTATAAAGGAGATTAAGCCAACGAACAGTTAGCACCAGCTAGGCCTCGTCTGGGATGCCAGCAACTTTCTGCTTCCTGGTTCTACTTAGTTTTTCTTGCCGTTTCCTGCAATAATGAGGAGATCAAAGTGGAGACAGCAGCACATTCAGTCCTCTGCCTGTGTTCAAAGGCTGTCTTCTCTTTGAGCAGAATCACCTTTCTGCTCAAGTCCCCTGCTGATTTTAACAGCCCCATATAGCACAGTATCCACTCTTGATGTTAACTCTATTCTGATGGCGAGAAAGGAAGAGAGAGCGTTTACGGCAGCATCGTTAAAACTCAAATAAGACTTTATTTGGGGAACTGGAAGAGTTGAACCTCTCTTGTTATACATGAATGCAGCAACATCCCGTAATCTCCAGAACATGAAGTGTCTATGTACAGCTTCTTCATTACCAGCAAATACCGCAAGCGAAAGCAAAGAAAGAACTGGCATGAGGTCATTTCAAACAAAATGAGCCAAAACAAAACTAATTTAGTTTCGGGACATTTGCCAATTGTTGTTGGTGCAAGCATATTCACATTGCACCTATCAAATGCTTTCTTAACAGCTGTTTTCTCACCGATGACGTTTTTGTTGTGTTTTTATTTTGTTATTGAGAGGAAAGCACATAACACATATTCATCTAAACAACGCTTCCAGCAGCACGTGGGCTGATCTCATAAATGCTATTGTTCCAACATGACTTTGAAGCATTATGGGACAATGATGTGCATAGTGCAAATATAAAACAACGCTTCCAGCAGCACGTGGGCTGATCTCATAAATGCTATTGTTCCAACATGACTTTGAAGCATTATGGGACTGTTTGTCGATGATGTGCATAGTGCAAATATGCTTTATTTTAATGCATCAGGATGTTCACTAACAGTAAACTGCTGCTTAGGTATTTCGAACAAAAAGCAAAGAACGTAAAAACAAACTTCAACTATCACTGCTTTCAGCTATTTCAGTCCTCTTCAGAGGCTCTGTGGACTACAGCATTTTATCTCCAGATTGTGGATTCAGTGAGGGCCTTAAAGGCACAATATGTACGATTTTTTTTATTAATATCCAAAAACCACTAGAACAGCGTTATATATTTTGCTGACTTGTGTACTTCCATTATCCCAAATGTTTCGAAGAATGTTTAAATCAATTATAGAAATACAAATATAGAAATAAGCAATTTTAACTAGTGACACGGACCGTTTCCCAGAACTAAATGTATCTAGTATGATAAAACAGCGCTGCTTTTTTCCCCCACATACGCACGACCCCACATATGCATGAGCGGAAGGAGCGGCAGCGGTCGACTGTGGCATAATAAAAGCTCCGCTGCTTTCGAGCCGTGTGTCGCGCTCGTTCAGCGGCCTCGTTTCGCTTCGACAGCTTTCAGCCTCACCCTGCTTCATTCTACTACGTTAATAAATCAATAGCTCATCCATCAACATGATTTCTGCCCGAGTCCCGTCATAAATAAATCATTAGCTCATCCATCAACATGATTTCTGCCCGAGTCCCGTCTGATTGCTTCGGCTGTGGGGATGAAGACGACAACTCCCATGATTCCACACCCAGTCACGGCGTCATCAAACTACACCTTTGTCTCTTTGTTTATTTTGAATATGCGTCTTCTAGCGGCGAAAATTACATATTGTGCCTTTAAGGGCAACATGTGGGTCAGGGCGAGAATATTTGTGACGCAATGCCACAGACTTTTGGGTAGTAGTTGGCTGTCAAGTCTGCACCAGTGTGGCCTCAGCAAAAGAGTGTATCAAGAGTGCATAGTTGCTGCACATTTGCGCTTTTACGAATCATAAATTGATAAATGGGATACTCTATGCTTTTGTGGACTTAACAGACATATATGAGAGAAGGCCACAAGGCCGCAAGTGCAGAATTTGAAAGAGGGGCTAAGTATTGTTGTGCTCAGCTAAAGAGGCTCAATTTATGATTTTTAACAAAAAAATGAGAGTATTGGAATGTTCTTGCTTGACTAGAAAGAAGCTATTATATGTAAGATACAGGAAAAGTAGAGCAAATATCACACTAGGCATCAGTAAACACGCATCTTTGAGCACTATTTGGTGTTTTCCTGTGTGGCCCCAGTTGTTTGACTCATCTCAGCATCAGTAAATCTCTTTCCGCTGGACTGTCAAAACTCAGCTAGCTGATTTCACGTGGTTGGCAGCGTGACTCTGAAATGAACCTCTGGAATGTGTGTTTGTGTGGGTGGCTGAATGTTATGGTTGTGGTTGCGGTTTGGCTTGTTTGGCGAGGTGATTTGGTCTGTGGTTTGAGTGACATGGATGGTGATGGAAAGCCCACAATTGTGACGCAGTGCCCTGTTGATTGTATCACCGCTCACCCACACAATGTTTGACGTAGACAGTGGTAAGCAATGTGAAATTTGTAGTGTTTTCTGAAACGCTCAGATGATGACACCATTGTCCCATGCAACTTTCAACTGTCTCAGCATCATCTGCATTTACTCCGAATAAAACCTCACATGTTTGGTTACACATGATACTACAGATATTATTTTTGTTTGTGTTGAACGTGAGGTAGTGTTGAGCTCTCAGCCAAGAAAAGTAAATTGTGTGGTAAAGTTCAAAATAGATCAATGCTGGCATAGCTAATGGCTGAAAGGATGCTGGCTAACCTCAAGTTTACATTTTTAAAGAATTACACTCGTTTGTGTTCTTTGCTAGTGGCTACTGCCACATTTACATGGTTGTGGCAGAATTATATTTATTGGGTTCTAATTCTGCTTGCCTTTTTTTCAGTTGTGTTCAGGTAGTGGAGCACCATGCTGCTGATATCGATGTTTATCACTGTCCCAACTGTGAGCCCATCCATGGACCCTCCATGAGTAAGTGTGTGCATCTACACGTGTTTCCCAATTTTTTTTTTGTTGTGTTCCAGGATCAGTCTTATGAATGTTTCCTTCTCTTTCGCAGTGAAAAAGCGCAACAACTGGCACAGGCATGACTACACGGAGCCAAATGATGGCACACTCCCCGTGCAGGCAGGAACTGCTGTGTTTGTACAGCAACTCCAGGCCAGGAGCTTTGCCAGGTACAAGCACCTCTGGATAAAGTCTTGATTAGACGTTGAACTTTACTACTTTGACTTTGAATGTGTTTTTATGATATAATCACAATCATTAGTTACATCTCGTTACGGCTTTGGAATTTGCACCTACCTGATAAGACTTGCTGTTGATTTGTGTGTCTTGGCTGTTTCAAAGTGGCGATGAGATTCTGCTGCCGATGCATGGGAGCCAGGTGACCCAATGCTACCTGGAGAGGAAGGGCTTCCATTACCCCATTGTGGTCCATGATCTGGATGGACTGGGGCTCAAACTGCCCCCTCCCTCGTTCTCTGTCAGTGATGTGGAGCATTACGTGGGTAAGAGCTTAGTGTGTGTACACTGCATTTGCTGTCTATCAGATAACAGCCCGGGAGAGTGTCTGGCAAGTGGGGCACTAGAGCGAAAGAGACGCAATTAGATCAATAACACATTTGGACTCATGACCAGACCCACATGAAATTTGTGCAAATATACTAGAGGTCTGCACGGGCTTTAAACTGAAGCCCGAATGCCGAGTTTTTGAATGGTTGTATACGACAAGACGATAATTCTTCCATCTTGCAAATTATGGTCATTTTCGTCAGTTAAGGCTCGTTAGCATTCGGCCTGCTTTAAATCAGACACAGAGATGCAGTGCGGTAAGATCGCATTTATTTGAATTAATTAATTATGTAACTTATTTGAATTAGAGAGAGAGAGAAAGATGAAAGTTGCGTGTGTGAACCTGCCTTCGGGACCCGTCGGGCTCGGGTCGGGTAGCAGACCTCTATTATATGCACGCATATATATTTCAAATAATTGCTGTTCTTTTAAACTTTCTATTCATCACAGAATCCTGGGGGGGAAAAAATTAATAAATATATATATATATATATATATATATGTAAAATTGGGGGTCTGAATACTTTCCGTACCCACTGTATATACACACACACGCTCACACTTATGTTTTATGTCTTCTTGATAAACAAATACAATATCTCGATAGATTAAATCATTTTCACACAATAAATAGTGATGTTTATTTCACTATTTTTATCATGATTTTAAAAAATTTAATTTATATGATTTTCATAGCCTGAGTGAAGCATAAAATAAAGTCTATACATAAAAAGGCATTTGAAAATTAAAAATTAAAATAAATAAAGGCATGATAAAGTTTCTGTGATGGGCACCCAAGTGCCTGAAGAAATGCCCTTTTACTCAAACCTCTGTTTGGTTTTAATATCATCTTATTGAAGCTAACAAGTCGTTTTTTGAACAACTTTAAACACATTGGACAGGAAAGCATTAGGTTACCAAGTGGCATTGTGATTATGGTTATCCGTCCGTGCCGGTAGTGAATGGGTTTGGACCCAACTCCTGTACAGCTGTGGAGGTTATCTTCTCTCTCCTCTACATTAGGCCCGAAACACTTCATCTCCAGTTACAAAGCTGTTGTGCAGCACAGCCAGTCTGAGCTCAGATTCCCAATAGGGCTGTTTTATCTCAATGCTTATGTTGCATGGCTCCCTCTTTCGCACGCCGCTGATCTTTAAGCTGGAAGTGTTTTAATAGTAACAGGTGTCGAGGAGAAGAGGTGTGTGTGTGTGTGTGAGAGAGAGAGAGAGGGAGAGAGGGGGGAGCGGGCCACTCAACGGATCATATTACCCAGCCAGTTGGCAACAGACAAAAGGCCACTAACCTTCTCTGTCTGTCTTTTCTTCCATTTTTCTCCCTACACCTGCTTTTCTTTTCTTAGAAAAGATAAGCACATTATGAGAAACACTCATTCTTCCATCTATGGCCAAATTAAGAGAATAATATTGTTGTGTGTGTGTGGTCAGACTGTCAGACTTTAACAAACTGTATGCAACATTATTTATCAGAACAATTTTAAAAGGAAGTCAAAGGTATCATTACTCAAAAATGAACATTTAGTCATTTACTCACCATCATGTCTTTCCAAATATTCTGAATTCCGAATACTCTGTGTAACATAAAAGAAGAGGTTTGGCAGAGTGTTCAAGCCGCTCTTTTCCCAATAATGAAAGTGAATAGGGACTGGGACTGTCTTAAATTTCTGTCTGTTCCTCAAGAAAAGTTATCGGAGACTTTAAATATAATTGTATGGTCTATTTTTATGTTAGTTTTATGGTACTTTTTGTCATTTTGGAGCTAATTTTCTGTAATTGAAATTAAGCTAAAATAAACTACAATATTTGATGAAAAACAATGAAAATTAGAAATGGTGCCTTGGCATTTGAATTTGAAGTACTATAACTGAAGAAAAAAAATTAAAGCTATATAGAAATGATAAACTAATTAAAATGACAAAAGCACATAAAATTACTCAAACTTAAACTGAAATTGAACTGAAAATGTAAAAATGCAAATATGATATAAATATGATAAATACTATAATAGTATGTAAATAATACTAAAAACACTGACCCATTCACTTATAATAATAAAATAATGATAGATAAATAAATGATGAATAATTTTGGGGTGAACTTTAAAGGCCTTACCTTTAAATGTTGTCTGTTGATTTTTAACTTAATATTATAAACCACAAAATGCTGGAGATGACCACAAAAATTTCAGCTTGGCAGTGCAGTGTTTTGTCCAGTTCCTAAATTTGGCCTTGAGCCTTTCACAATTATGTGTTTGTGGGACTGTTCCTCCAGCTGTTCCCTGTCATCAGACACTGGCCAGCTGTGTGTGTGCGCGTGTGTGTCGAGGGGTTTGCAGTCACTTCACCGGCACCTGTCCAGCGCTGTTTCCGGTCCTCAACTGTCATTCGTGATTTGCGGCCCTGCGGCTGTGTCTCTCAAAAACCTTATTACAGACTTTGTGTTTGTGAAACCGACATAACAGAGAATTTATGTATGAGAAACTCTGTCCTGTAAACACGCACCCAATTTGAAAATATCCCACTTTCTTTTTCCAGGTGCAAATAAAGTCATTGATGTGATTGATGTCGCAAGACAGGCAGACAGCAAGCTCAAGCTGGGAGAGTTCGTGAAATATTACTACCAGCCTGAACGACCAAAAGTGTTAAATCTTATCAGCCTGGAGTTCTCTGATACAAAGTATGTCTGTGTGGGAACCCATCGTTTTCCTTTCTATGCAACATAACTTCAGCTTATTTTACTGGTTGATAACACTCAAGTAGCATTAAAATCAGTGTTGTTGCATTATACATTTAACACATATAAATGCTTTTTTGAAGTCTAATTTTTGTTTTCTGCTCTGTTTTAGGATGTCCAATTTGGTGGAGGTTCCTGAAATTGCGCAGAAGATGTCCTGGGTTGAGAACTACTGGCCTGATGACTCGTTCTTCCCCAAACCATTTGTGCAGAAGTATTGTCTCATGGGAATGAAAAACAGTTACACAGACTTCCACATCGATTTTGGAGGAACTTCAGTGTGGTATCATGTTCTCTGGGTAAGAACTAAGGCCTGTTTTATGATGTGAATCTGTTTTATGAAGTGTACAGTTTTTTTGTATATGACCATCTAAATGGTTTCATGAGCAATTTGTGGAGATCCGGTCGTGTGATATTACAGTTATGTAAGTGATAAGTGCTGATAAGGCTGTGTTTTTTTTTTGCAGGGAGAGAAGATTTTCTACTTGATCAAGCCGACTAAGGCTAACCTTGCACTATATGAGTCCTGGAGCTCATCACCCAGTCAGAGCGAAGTATTCTTTGGGGATAAAGTCGACAAGTGTTACAAATGTGTGGTGAAGCAGGGAACTACCATCTTCCTTCCCACTGGTGAGAACGCAGAATTTGCCAAACTTTTGGTGTCCATCAAAAGATTATCCCCACCCTTCATTTGGTGCCCAAATAAAATCAGTTAAAATTCATTTTAAATTATAAATTAAACTATATTCAAATTAAAAATCATTTAAATTTTATTTCATGTCAGAATTGTCAGGGTGGTACAACTGTCATGATATCAAAATGAAGAAACAAGCATCATTAAAATTATGAAATTCTTACAGAAAACCTTAGTTGTTTGCCACGATCTTTTAATATTATCATAAATCACGTGGTGCAACAAACATGTACAAACCATAACTTAGAGTCCCTCATGGCTATGTGTCAAAGAAAGGTCAGTTCAGGTTGTAAAATGTCATGTGGTGTGACTCCCCCAAAAAGTAATGATATTTATGAATTAATAATTCATGATATTTGTAATGTCACGTTTGTTACTTTTTTACTATGAAACCTATATTTATAAACATTTTTTAAAAATGATGATTAAGATGTGTACACTCGCATGTTTAAGGCACGAGGAAAACTGGTATTACTTTTTACTTGAGGGTTACACCACATGACATTTTTAGTGTCATTACTTTGAAACTTTTCTTAAATTCTATAAATACTTTTCAAAATCATATGGAACCAACAGTAATACAAGGAGTACATTGCCAAGAAATTAACTAACTAGATTTTTAAAAATATTTTTTATTTATTTATTGTGGATGCTCTTATTTGTCATCGACCCAAACAACGACATGCCTTTTGTATCCTCGTTTGACCCCACATTGCAAAATAGCATGTGCGCTTTTGTAGAAAAACACGTACATGGTACGGCAAGGCGAAAATAAGATCAGGCGGTTTCCCAGAGCTCCTGCCAGGAAAATGTGGATCAGCGTCCAACACAGATGACCTTTGTTATAGTGGGAGTGTTGGGCAACGATCTTCGCTGAGCAACGTGGTAAACAGTATAAAAACACTCTGATGGGCTATGATGCAATTCACGTGCATCTCACCGAATGGAAAGAATGTAGAATGAAAAGTTTCTGGGCGTTCCTTTAATCGCCCGTCAGAAGCGCTATGTTAATTCAGCATGCATTTAGAGTGCTATAAATGGTCTTTAACCACTGCGGAGGTAGTAGACGTAACTCTTCTCGCGGCAGGGTTTCATTATCGCAGCATGTGTATTTGTGGCGTGTGAAAGTGAGCATGTGGGTTTCCTTCCTCGAGCACAACGCACATATGACGAAGCAGAAATCCCCCTCTTGTTTAGCAACATGTCTGTACACGGTGGCCAATGCACATGCAGCTAGACGGAGAGATAAAACTGATATTTCTGTCAGTGGCGGTGAGGTGTGGGTGTGAGATGACTCTATATTTGGCTTTTGCTGATGTGTATTTGTATGTGTGTGTATACACACTGGTTACTATTGTGAATTGTGTGTGTACACTGTATTTTGCTGATGTCTATGAGTATCAAGGCTGATTAATACAGATGGAGTAATATGCCTTGGTTCAGTGTGAGAGAGTTTTAGCCAGTTAATGGAACTTAAACTTCAGTTCTGCTTATTTATCTGGCTGGCTGACATTGGTGAGGTTTTGTTAAAAATTTGCCAATTTAGTGACAATTTGAAGGTGCTTTTTCCCAAAAGAAGTAACAACTTCTTGGGCTGTTTCAAAGATGCTGAGAGCATTGAAGGGATGACATTTGTGAGAATAACTTGTGGTAGTCTCAAAGTGATTTTGTATTGTAAGTTATGTGTGCTTTTTTTTTCTGGATAAAATTAAAATTATATTAGATTTAATAAAAATTTTATTAAATTAAAATATTAACATATCAATTATTTTAAATTGTTTAAAATATACTAAATATTAATTCTTAATGTTTTCTTTAGATTTTTATTCAATAAGATTTAAATATTTTATATTATATTATTTTAATCAGTATTTTTTACTTCCTGAATTAAATTACATTTAAATTATGTAAATTAAATTTAAAATGTTTAATATATTACATATTAATTCTTAATCCTTTGATTTTTAAACTAAGATATATGCTAATTAATGAAATGGGTGTTTTAACATGGTGTAACTTGCTACTATTAAGCTAGTGTTTAATCAAAATAATATAGATATATATACAGATGATTCAGAGACAGAATGATGATTAACTATTGTTTTTGGTTGAGCTAGTGAAAATGAACCAGGTCTGCATAAAGTAATCTTTCCCGAGGCCTGAATGTTGATCTCTGTTGCCCCCTACAGGTTGGATCCATGCAGTACTCACTTCTCAGGATTCCATGGCGTTTGGTGGGAACTTCTTGCATAACTTAAACATAGGCATGCAGCTCAGGTAAAACCCTGAATTAATTTTGATGAAGCTTCTCTGTATTGTTACTGTCACTATAGTTAAGTTCAGGTTTCTAAACGTATTCCTGCTGGAACTGAACTACCTCTCCATCCACATTTTAGGTGTTATGAGATGGAGCGCAGACTGAAGACTCCAGATCTCTTTAAGTTCCCCTACTTTGAGGCCATCTGCTGGTATGTGGCCAAAAACCTTCTGGAGACCCTTAAAGGTGAGTGGGACAGGACTGCTCATGCAGGGCAGGATTTTCCCAAACTGGGAAACATGAGGGAACTTGCAAAGGGTTTGGGAGTTGATGAAAAGCTAATAATATGATCATCAATAAAACACTTACTAAAAAATGATTAAATATGTTTACCTCAGAACCGGCTTTTCTGACAAGATGCGCGTTAAATATCGCATGCGATTTATCGTGCAGCCCTACTCCATGTCATGTCATCATAAACCAATATGCAAATGTAGTTCCTTGCGTAAATGTAGTTGTAGATGTAGCATCTTGATCAAGTGAAGATTCAGAGTGAAACATGTTTGTGTTTCAGAGCTGCGGGAGGATAAATGTCAACCTCGGGGTTATCTAGTGGATGGGGTGAAAGCTTTAATCTCATCACTGAAGACGTGGCTGAGGAGGGAGGTAAGAAAATGTCCGCTTTTTCTATGTCATTGTTTTTATAGTAAAACTCCTGTGGCTGTTGTTACATGCTCATTTTTTCTGTGTTTCCTCTGCAGTTAACTCAACCCAACAGTGAGGTTCCAGACAATATCAGGCCAAGCCGTCTCATTAAAGCTCTGACCACGGAGATCCGCTACCTGGAGGTAAGACAAGCCTGAAGAAGCTGAGTGGTTTTGAATGGGTGATGAGACCATAATTCACAGGTCTTTAGACATAAGCTGCTTTTTATTTCGATGTTCACTTTGCAATGTTATGAGAACTAGGGATATCCCTGAAGCTGAATACTGTGTTCGGAAAGGAAACTACGCATTTTACAGAGCCCCTAAAGGGACATGGTGATGGAAAAAATATGTGACGTGAAGAAAAATAAGTTGCAATGCTTTTGCGTTGTCTCACAATTATATTGGGTAATTATATTGTATATAATTTGCAGGCATCAGGGAGCCACTATCAATATCGGGATTGAAATCGCTTTTGAATGTGCGCTCGCTTTTTACTTACACTTTCACGAATTCACGATCATGCGCACTTTGTGTATAGGGAGTGGCGGTACTGATTTGACAAGATATTTGTCAATGATGCTCAGGATCTGTTGCGCACCAAATCCTTCGACATCAGTCAGTCATCTATCCTTACTATCTTCATGTGATTAGTGAAATTTTATGTACTTTAATGTGACTGACTACCGCAGCAAGCCTAACAATGTCCCTTTAGGGGCTCCGTAGATTGCCTTGTATTGCTTTTCCGTGCCTTTCCGAATTCGGATTTAGACTTTGGGCACATCCCTAAAGCTGGGGACACACTACACGACTAGCTGAAACACTCTAAGACTGAACTCTGAACGCACTTAAAGACTGTTTCCATCGACTGGAACAGATTCTAGTCTTTTGACAGTCAGAGAGGAGCACAAACCTAATGACTGAGTCAGTCCACTACACAACACTTAACGACTGGCGAATCACGACTAGACAAATTCTGCTGAACCAAAAAAAGAAATAATAATAAATAAACTCACAATAACTTAACTGTGCAAGATCTTGTACCAAAACATACAGGGATGTCAACATACACTTGGCAGTATTTATTTGCTGCAATTTGTGCAGAAAAATAAATAAATAAATAAATCGAAGTGTCCGATTATAAGATCTACCCGCAGCCCCTTCCGCCCACCAAAGACAACACTGAGGACAACACTGGTTCTTTGTTTAACTATTGAAGGGTTAAAAGTTTGCTTGAGTAGACACATTTTGTTATGTCTTTTCAGATAGCCTATGTTTAATTTCACTAGCACTGTTTTTAAACTTTTAGTCAAGCAATGATACATTCATTATCTCATGTATGTCTAAAATCAGGGATTAAAAATGAATTGGTTCTGTGCAAAAACGGTAAAATAAATTTTTTTTTTTTTTCATAAAATTAGTTACTGGTTAGAACGAAATAAAACATTACTGCTCCATTTATTCAGAAACAAAAGTAATTAAAAAATGCTTATAGCGCTGAAAACACTGCAATCCGACAGTTGACAGAAGAGCTGCAGAGAAATTCAAGGCACTGTAATTTCCTCATCCATTTGACACAAAATTATTATGTATAATTAAACTGAATAAATAAAATGATTTTATTTACATTTATTTACATTTTTTTGTTAAAAATTTGTTTTGAAGAATAGCTGTTCATTATCTTTGTATATATTCATTATGAAGAAAATTCGTTAAGATGAATATTCTTTAAAATGAGAGAAATCACTGACATTCTTCATTTATTTTACTTCGACTGCAGAAAAACAACAACAATTAGTCTAAAACCATTTCACTTACAATGTAAACTTATGAAATAAAAGAAACATCACAACAAGATGCGTAATCAAGAAAAAATATTTGACAAAATTAACGATGAAGGATGTTTGACTGAGCACATCTCCACTGCTTATAGAGTTGCTGGCATCAGTCGCAAATATTAAACATGCCTAAAAAATATTTGTGAATTCTACGATTATAATCTTTAGACACCACACACTATACAACTTTTCTGCTGACTGCAAACAGCGACACCGCCACCAACTGGACCGATCAGTCATCACGACCAAATTACATTCATAATCGACCTAATGGGAACAGTTAATTTGCCAATATTCAAGTTCAAATAAAAAATTATTTAAAAATATTAAATTGATCATTCTTAATGTTTTTTTATAGAAATGTAGGCAAATTAAATTTGATCATGAAGTAAATTTATATTAGAATTATTAAATATATTAAATTAATTGTTTGTTTTTTTTGTTTGCCAAATTATATCAAATGTAAAATATATTTAATATTCTTAAAATGTTTATTTTTCCTTACTTAAATGTTTGCCTATTAATGTAATGGCAGTTTCTAGATGGTGCAACACGGCTGCAAAAGCAGCTCCTCCAAGAAGTTTAATTGATTTGCTGTGTTTTCTTAAACAGGATGAATCGAATAAAGCTGAAAAATCTCAGGGAAGTGCTGAGTGGCCTTTAACACGCTCATCACTGGAGAAAGGATATCAGGTACAGCGGGCCGCTCAATGGCTACAAGACCATCATCATCACAGCCGCAGACTGCCCTCTAACTTGGATGTCTTGGAGCTTCACACACTGGAGGTATTAAAGAGACTGGAGGTCGGGCCTCTTGAGGAGGTGAGTGTGTCCCGTCTCCCCCCCCCATAATGCACTGTAGCATTAAGCTCAAGTTTCTTCTTGTTGGTTCTCCATAGCGTCATTAGGCTTTATCATTCCTTATCATATGACTGTAATGCAATGCTATCAAATGATTGTAGAGGACATTTTCACCTTGATATTAGATATGTTCACTGCTTTAGCAGCATGCAATTATTATTATTATTATTATTATTATTCATTTCCAGTATAAACACCTCTCGTCTCTTGTAACAGGACCCAGCCTTCAGCTCCAAAGTGAATGGCAAGTTCAAGAAAGTGTCTTCAGTGTCTGCAGTAGCTGTTGAGGGTAGTCATGACAATGCCCTGCGCCTGGTGTTATGTAATGGCAAAATTATGCGGTGAGGGTCCTGGTAGCTTCACTTGTTTTTTGACATTAGATTGTCTATCTATTGGACACTAGCTGTCATTCTTATCAAAGCTGATACTAAGAAAAAAATACAATCATACTGGTAATTGTACAGCAATATTAATCTTAATAATGTTAATAATAACCAAACTGTTGTTACAGTAATTGAACATTATTTGTAAAAGAAAGTTATTAGACATTATAAGAAAAAACGAGAAATTTCTTTGTTCTTTATTACTTGAATATTATTTTGAAGCAAAATTCCATGCCATTGTTTTCTTTTAACTTGTAGACATCTGTATTATTTAACTTGTATTGGTATATTGACTACTAAAATTTTGGTATTGTGATCCCGCCCCCACTTCTACCTCTTAATTCTTGGCATGATATAGTTTGATTTATACTAGTATTCTTTATACTAGCTTTATCTCTAAGATTTTTAAAAAATAGAAATGTATGTTTTTATTCATCAAGGATACACTAAACTGATCAAAAGTGAAAGTAAAAGTTTTTACATCGTTACAAAATATATATATATATATACAGTATATTTCTGGTCATCAAAGAATCCTGAAAAAAAAATGTAGCATGATTTCCATAAAAATATTAAGCAGCACAACTGGAATAATAAGAAATGTTTCTTGAGCAGCAAATCGGCATATTAGTATGATTTCTGAAGGATCACGTGACACTGAAGACTGGAGTAATGATGCTGAAAATTCAGCTTTGCCGTCATCAGAATAAATGACATTTTAACATATATTAAAATAGAAAACAGTTATTTTAAATTGTAATAATATTTCATAATATTACTGTTTTTACTGTATTTTTGTTTAAATAAGTGGATCCTTGGTGAGAAGAACAGACGTCTTTAAAAATAAATAAATAAATAATAATATTATTAAAATCTTACCAACCCCAAACTTTTGAATGGTAGTGTATGCTTATATTTGATGTATTATAATAAAATTTTATTTTTTATTTATATTTTATTTGTTTATTGTGATATATTCATTATAGGAATAAAATGTAATTTTTTGAAGGCTTTTTGTATTCTAAACATCTCATGAAGAAGTGCGTCCTCCTTCCTCACAGGGAGAGGTTATCTATCAGTAGTAATGTGGCAGCCAAAGAGAGTGGAGTGGAAATGTTGCAGTATCATCAACACGGGATCAAATTTGAAAGCCTGCTGATGTGCCCACAAGAAAAAGTGAAAAAAGAAAAGCGAGAGGATGAATTAAGAGTACACTGCACTATCAAGAAACCAGTCAATCACGGTGAGTTATTCGGAGCTGTAGAGGATGTCGCAACCCAGTTTTCTCCAGAATGCTTACATAATACTGAAGCCATAAAAAGCATAATTTTCTTCTGTTAATAGTGATTGATTATAATGTAAAAGGAGATTTGTTTGACTCTCGTCTTATTTTGTCAGGTCTAACTGTGCAGACAGAACTCAGGACAGAGTCGCCACATGTAGAGTCTTCAGACAGTGACTCGGAGTCAGAAGCAGAAGATTCTGCTGAGGTGCTGATGATGTCCAATAAGCTCCCCAGGAGCTAAACACTTGGTTAAATGGCTTATCATCTGTCCATCCTAATCCTCTCCATCACCCTTTCTTTAAACAGAAACGCTCAGAGTCAGAGAGTTCTGAGGAAGAGGATGGAGGAAGCAAGCGAGACTCAGGGAGTTTTGTGGAGCATCTGAGCGGCCGGCCACACGGCCACCATAAGCAAGCGCTAAAACGGTACAGCTGCCCTTCATTTTACACACCTGAGAAACTTGGCACAGTTTAAAAGCTCATTTTAAGTCCCTTTTCTCTTTTTTTGTGCTAAAATTGAAAACTTCTTGTCCGCAGAGAACGTCCTACCTCACCGAGCACAGCTGATGCCATTCAGGGCATGCTGTCTATGGCGGGGCTGCTGTGTCAGCAGGCATCAGCAGGGGGCGATATTTTACAGCAGCACTGGTGGTCCAGTCAGGCTAACAGTAACTGTAACAGCAACAGCAGCAGTGACGCGTGGGACAGCAGTGAACCCTGTTCGGCACCCCGCAGCCCAGAGGGAGAGGATGGGAGTCTCGGAGAGGAATATTCATATAGAGAGAGCTCACTTTCTCCTCCCCTCCACCCCTCCAAAAGACACACCCCCAACCCCACACCCATCAGCAACCAGGCCACTAAAGGTAAGCTGACTCAACTTTTATTACTTCGGGGAAAGAAAAAAAAAATCATAGTAACAATAATAATATTTGTATTGTTATTTCTTATTAAAGGAAAAATTGTATTTGCCAAAAATCATATAGAGGACCTCTGCTGACCCTCATAACAGTGTATCAAAGTCAATAATTTGACCTTTAAAAATAGATTTTTGTTGAAACTATATTTTTTATCTGGAAAAAAATGTGAAAGTATGAAAATTGGTTTAAAACTATATTTTAATATATATGTATATATTATATATATAATTTAATTTACTTTTTTTGTGTGGAAAATTATGATATTTGTTACATTTATTTTTGCCTTAGAATATGTGAAGGGACATTTTGAAAATAGTTGTGCACTCACATTTATTCAGAGTGCAAAGAAAATGTTTTAGTTATTACCTGGTTACACCACATGACATTTTTCAAATTTCATCAAATTTGTCAAAACTTTTCTTTAACATGGTATAAAGGTTTTTAAATATCATTTGAAATACAATAAATACATTTAAGTATGTTGCACATTATAAAACGGATAGTTCCGGTCCTTGATTCTGATTGGCTGAGCCACGTTCGAAGCTGTTGTAAATTACTCTACAAACATACACCTTTGTTTACGTTTGTGTTGCTCGGCAACCACTTTGTTGCAACCACAACTGATTCTGAGGAACTACATTGATTGGTGGAAGAATACTGTTTTTATTAATATCATTACACTTTATTTGCTCTGTTTTATTTTGTGAAACCTTACTACGTATATGGAATAACCGTTTTATAAAAGCAATAAGCCCCGTGAAGCCGTGGTTTACAGTGAATTTAAGCTTCGCGTCGTCGTGCCTAACAACGCCCCTTAACTTTGAATTACTGAAATAAATGAACTTTTCCACGACATTCTAATTTATTGAGATGCACCTGTAAATTCACTGTAAACCACGGCTTCTTGGCGCTTATTGCTTTATTTTAAACTACATTTTTAAAGGATTTTTTTTTATAATTGACCCACTTATATGACGTTTACCAATAAAACATTTTTGGGAGTTCACAAAATCACTCCAAAAATGTATGTTCTTGGGTTAACAGTAATGTTTGCAACTATTACTGCTGAAGGGCTAGTATTGACTTGAAAGCTTTTGCTTATATCGTGTTTTTGTGGTTTTATTGCAGGAAAGCGTCCTAAGAAAGGACAGGCGACAACTAAACAGAGGCTTGGGAAGATATTGAAAATGAGCCGCCATAAAGGCTTATTCCTGTAGCATGATGACGTGTTATAAATCAACACAGCTGCTTTTCTTTATACGCTGGGACTATTATCACACACACACACACACACAGTTCTCTTACTCACTGTGCATGTTTAGGTGACAGGGTATGTTTAATGGCTCACTTGTTATCTTTTTCACAATTCACGCAAAATACAACACGTTATCCATCAGCGCAGGGAAAAACTGCTTTACTTTGGACAACATTTCAACATTAACAGCCAAAAGATTCAAGAGGAAACACAGAAACGGATGTTCAGAGGTCCAGAGAGCAGCGTGTAGGAAAACGAGCCGCAAGTGTGTATCACGGGCTGAGGCCTCTCCTCTCCCCCACCCTACCTCTTACCACATCTGTAGCATGAGTGTCCAGGCGCTCGCAGGCTAAGGACATCTTCCTAGCCCTCTACAGCCCGACACTGTCCTTCAGATTCCCCTCAAGTCATTATCAATCTGCCTATTTCTCTCTACTTTGATCGTCTCAGGCTGATGTGTGAGCTTTGGAAATGGTGCTGAACATTTATAAATCCTTCTCCAGTCCCCTCTGCCCCTTTAAGCAATAATTGTACAGCAGTGAGTGATGTATTGATGATTTAGTGGGCCGTACTTTTAGAATGCAACGGAAGTCCTCTCATAGTGGAAAGTATTGGTCATAACAGTACAGCCATCAAAAGAAATCAAAAAGTGGCAAAGATATAAACTACATGATTTTCTTTTATTTGACAGTGTTTATACTACATTTATTCTTGGGTGGACATAAATAGGCGATTTAAAGGAATATTCTTGGGTATTTTTTTTAATATAAAACGTTCCAAGTTCTCATTTTGTAAAAACAAAACATTAGATTTAAAAGATGTTTTTACATGGCTAGTCTGGCAATCCTTGTATTGCAGGTGCATCAGATTTTGTCAACCTTTTTTATTTTTTTTTAATTCCGAAAGCTATTGAAATACTGCTTTCACACTGGGAAAATTGAGGAAAATACGTTGCCACGCATTAATTTGCCTTTGTCACAACCCAGTGGCCACAGAGATGTACTGCATCCTGGAGCGCTGCCTCTCAAATACTGTATGTGTAGTTTGCGAGGACTAAATATGCTTGTCACGTGATTGACAATGATCTTTCGCTCATTCTGCATAATTTATGTTTGTTCGTTTTAAAATATTTTGTTGACTGAACATCTTATTTATTAATTTCAAAGATATAAGGATTTATATTGCATTGAGTTTCCTGTTTTTCCCTTTGCATTGGATAGTTTTGTAAATGAGTATAATTTTGAATGTTACCGATTCAAGAGGAATGCGATTTTGTTTAGGTTCAGCTTGATGGATTTTGTAGTTAACACATTTAATGCTACTTAAAAGAAATTTGAATGACTTTTCCTGTTAAATTTACCACTAAAATATTAGTGCAAATTGAGTTTGTTTGAATCATGTTGCTTTATGTTGTCTTTATGACCTGTTGAAACGGGACAAAAGAATTTAAGTGGGAACAACAACAAAAAAGTGGTGCTTGTGTGTGAATTTCTTAGAGAGGCTATGAAACGTTTTCTCAGGGAACATCGAACAGGTGACATCTTTGAATTCATCACCAGCACTGTCATACAATCTCATTTTATACTCGTTTCCACAAATTTGCCAACAAATGTATGTATTCCCAATAATTTTACTTATTTTATTTTTTTTGTCTGGTGGACGTAAATTCCAGATTCAGAACAAAATCGTGTCCCGCTGTACAGTATATTTAAAAAATGTTGGACTTTGTGCATAGAGCAGCACTGACGGATTTTGATCAGCTATTCTTGATTGTTGTGTAAGAGGTCTGTTGGCTCGAAAAGCAAATGCACTATTTTGGATGACTTGAGTTTGATAACTGCTAAAACTCAGGCTTTGTTACGGTTTTGAGGTTTGCTCGTGCGCATGTGTTTTATGAAAAAATGTTCCTCTGTTCCCACTCACTAACCTTAATATAGACGAGCACCCTTTGTAAATTTCAGCTTTCTGAAGGCAACAGCTCATCTCCTTCATATTTGCTCAATCGAGCTGGTCTTCAGACAGGTTTCTTTGGACGCATTAATTGTACAGTATTTATTCATCTCTAGCATTCATTTCCATTTTCGACTGTGGTATAGACTTTAACGTCACTGTGTTTTCAAATGCTGTGTTCTATTCCTCCTCTTCAAAATTTCCCAGAGTTCTCTTTGGGTGTGATGGATTTTATCCGGTGTAATGTATATATAAGATGAGGGAAATGTTTTGTAGATCACACTGTTTTCCCCTTCCCTTTACCAAATGTTTAGTGATAAAACACTGTTCTACTGACAAATTTAAGTGTTGATGGCTTTTATTTCTTTATTTTATAATGCAACTTTAACAATTAGACTTGATAATAAGTCCATATACATAACAGGAACTTTCAGTTTCCTCTACAGAAAATGTGCGGGTTTTGTGATCTGGTGCACATCTGCGAATGCAAAGCAGAGAAGAGAAATAGCAGTCATGCATGCTGTTGTCAAACCCAGGTAACTGCACTGAGGAAATAAGCTATTTCTCTTGTATGTAAATAAGTTACACATATGTACATTGGGTTGTTGGGGGTGAATCTACTCTTCATCATCAGGTGGGATTCCCAGCTCCTCATCGGTCCATGCTGAAGTGTCCGGCCATGGGAAATGACCCTAAAGAGACAATATAGTTAAGTGGCTGGTAGTCTGTTTATTATGAAATGGCTAAAAACGGTAACATTTAATCCCATTGCTCATCTATTTTGATGCAGTTTCCACTCACCAGTACGGCGTCTGGATCGTGCCAGATGTGCCACAGGATCCAGAACCACATGGCGCCGCTGAGCAGCTCTGCCTGAAACTTCTGGTTCCTGGTGAGCTGAGGAGATTGTCTGTATTGGGGTTCAATATGAGCACCGCCTCCTGCCCTAAAACACAGCCGACAGAAAGATTACCAGTACGTAAGTGAAATTTTATGGCTAGCAGTGCTAATGCAAACCCATGGTACTACAAACCATGATATATGCTGATACTGACAAGCTTAACAAATATATATGGATATTTATAAAAATAAAAAAAAACTAAAATAATTTTTATCTATTATATTAAATTATTTCTGTAATACATTAATTTTTCGATATATGCTGATACTGACAAGCTTAACAAATATATATGGATATTTATAAAAATAAAAAAACCTAAAATAATTTTTATCTATTATATTAAATTATTTCTGTAATACATTAATTTTTAAAGTACACATTCACATATTTTTACATTTCTTTATTTTCTTGTTCTTACAAAGCTTAAACAAAGCTTATCTGCATTGGACAAACAAGTAAAAAGAAATAAGGAATAATCTTTTAAGTAATAGTAAATGCATCATATTAGGACCTATCTTTTTTGAATTTATAATAAACTTAATCATTAGACCCTTAATGCAATTAACTACATTTACAAAGTACAGTGGTACTAACATTTTTTTTAGACAATTTATCGTAGTTTTTACCTTGGTACGAGCATGTGTTATGACAAGTATCATAGTAATACCAACAACTATTTTAGACCTTGTACTTTGGAATACATTGCAAATACCATTGTATTTGGAATACATTGCAAATACCATTGTATGTGAAAATATAAACACTCGGTGCTATGGTATTACATGTACTACTATGGTACGACCAGGGTACCCACTTCTAACCTCTATATACTCTAGTTATATCCCGCTATCTAATTCCTAACTTATAAATTTGGCTAAATTCCGTATATTTAAATTGAATTAGCGCCGTTATGCTTCTTACGTATTATTTAGACTTTCCAAGAACCAAACTACAGACTTGACTGTATTCAAGCAGCACGTTTAGCCTGTTAGCGTCCTGCTCATAAACACTCACTTTCTGACGGTCATCTGCTGAGGTCCATGTCTGAAGAGCTGCAGGCCGGTTCGGAGGACACCCGCCGTCCTCCTGAGAGAAGACATGCTTATATGTGTGCCACCACTCTGTTTTTAAAATGGCTTTGGCTCGGATGAGCTGCGGTGACCAGACAGCTAAATGTCACCTCAGTTTGCAGCGGCTGTTTCTTTGACCTGCTAATAACGAGCGCTGTGATTGGTCACTTAATACAAGGCGTTTTAATGCTACTCACTGTCTGCTCGATAGAGGGCGCCAAATACCAACTGAGAAAAGATCGACCAGGTGTTTCCAAAAAAATAAAATAAACAACAAAACATGAGTGTTAAAATGTATAAATTAAGTTTTTCCAATCAACTTCATATAAATTTAAGTACTAAATTTTGTCATTTATTTCTTTAGTGGACCTACAATTATTAGTTCGTAAAAGTATATTTTAAGTCACTGGTGTATGTAATGTTTATGTTAAAATTCACTCTGTGCAATTCAATTTTATTGTACTTTATTTGCATTTGTTTTATTATATGCATTACATGAAGAAATGTTTAGGAAATTGTATTTACGCAATTGTATTAATTCAGACTATGAAAACAGGGCACAGGAGACAAGTAATCATTATATCTGAAATAGTACTTTATTTGCACAAACAGCAATAAATCTCAACATTTTCTCTACTACTCTGTCTTTATGACTCCGAGGACTATTGTCCAAGACAATATTCAAAGGGCTGGGAGAGACTAGGAGTGTCAGAAGAATAACATGATTAAATATGACTAATCCTGTGATTATATGTTTCACAACTGTATGTTTGGCAAATAAAAATAAGTAAATAACAGTTCTTTAATGAAAAAAAAGAACCGTTTACAGGTTATCAGGTTACATATTTTAGCATCTTAACCCTGTAAAAAAAAATTTTTTTTAATGGAATAGTTTTTTGAACCTCCTTATTAAAATAAAAAAAGTAACTGTTTTGTTTCATATTTGATATATTAGGCTTTTATGGCCCATAGAGTATATAAGTGAATGTGGTGCTCATACTTGAGGGAAAAAACACATCAGTCTTACTCAGAGGCCCATACTAAGCAAAAATATGCAGTTTGGTGTAGATGTTATTTATGTGGCCAAAACATTAGATGAAATTCTGATATCTTGTAATGTTAAATCAATAGCATTTCTAAGAGTATAGCAGACTACTTATAAAATGCATGTAAATATCACTCTAAATCTCTCAATAATGGGTTGGTAAGATTTAAATTTAAATCGATTGTGTAGAACAGGTTTTTCAGCACATTTTGATCATGTTGATAATTTACAGGCCTTAGAAATGAATGTATAAAATATGATACAGCAGGCTTTATAGGTTGTTTGGTCATTTCAATTTGGGTGTTTCAGCCACCTGATTACAAACCCCTGCACTTTACTAACCATTATAATAATGATATTTAATTTTAAAACTGTAACATGTTGCAATTTGGTCAATATACTATGCACTTGGACGAAGAAGACAATTTCGTAGATCATGTAATGGACAAACATAGGCTACTAACAAGTTAAAACCATGTTAGCAACAAAACTGCTTGGAAAATTGAGCTTAATCGACTTTATTAATGGAGCCGGTATGAAAACAACTGCAACTCACTGAGCTGTGCGCTCTACAGAAAAAAACTCCATTCAATACGCCATTTACTAATCAACATCCCCAGAGCAGCGCAGAGGCGTCGTGGGATCGACAACATGGCGGCTGTGGAAACACGATCAATGGAAAAAGGCGAGCAGATCATGCAGCTCAAAGCCACGCCGTTACCTAACATCCATTTTAACGAGCGCGAGAAACAGATTACTTCGGAAGGCATTATGGCATCGCACGACGACGATTTGAGACCTCAGCCGGGACGTTTTCTGCACACGATTCGTTTCCTGATCAGCACCAAAACAGGAAATGCGCGCTCCAGTCCCTTTTGTTGCAGCTCTTATGCGGCTGTTATTGTAACGTAATACACGATGTTCTGACTTCTTAACATAATATCTCTCTCATAATAGCAGCTTGACCTTTAAGAATTCGCAAAACACACAAGATATGAATATTTAAAAAAAAAAAAAAAACTTGGCACTGCCAGCCAACATTAATTTTCGAATCGTGGACGAACTGTTGTTTGATCTTTTCAACGATTAATTCCTAGCAGTTGTCGATTAAAGATGATTGCTGAACTGGTTTCAAGATTCTTAATTGCATGGTCGTTTTATTAACGCGCATATGTAACCGAGTTGACTTAAATAAATACAATTTTACTGAACTTGATTGTAACAAACTACTTAATCACAATATGTAATATTACAACACGCACGGCTGTAAAAAATATTACTCTTAATAGGCAAAACCTGTACAGCCAGGTGTGTCCACATATGCCGTTTTAACAGATGAAACTCGTAATTTGTCACATCATGTTGTTAGGGGCCACGTAACTACGTCATGACGCAAAAGAAAGAGAGTCGGCGAATCGTTATAATAACCGCTTCTTTGAAACGAACCACCGAGCATAACAAAACACTACTTTCCGATATTCCCGGTGTTTGCGGCGATTAAAGCACATTAAAGTTGTTAGTCGTCAGTGTGCATTTTAAAACACACGGCTGGTGACGTAGTCTCAAGGAGCTGAATCCAGTTTTCGGCACAGCGATGTTTTCTGGAAAGCCCGTGACCCGCCGCGCCCAGCGCAGTGCTGCGAGGAGTATTGACGCTATCTTCTTGCGATTTTTGTGACGCGACACGAACTAATTTTGTATATAAACCAACTCCAAGAAAGGGCTCTTCTAAAACGATGATCCGCTGAGATTCAAGTAAATCAAATGGTTAAAGAGATTTGGAGTTAATGGCGCCCTACTGTCGTCCACAAACACGGTCGGATCTCCGGGTGCGCCGCTCTCCCCTCGCAGCTCAGAGCCCGCCCACATATGGAATTCAGATGATGTAATCTGTAGCCAATCAGCGCAGAGGAAACAGGACAATAAGCGTAT